CTAACTAGGTCTTTCAGGAGGATGGTGATTATTGAATAGAATCTCATTAGAGAAATGTAATTATGTACTCTTCTCATGGTATGTACTCAAAGTGTATTCCAGAAGCTACAGATATTTACTACGTGACTGCACAGGAAGGCGACTCTAGACACAGGCTCAGGGTTATTCCTTAAGCATCTTTGTTGCTCATGGTGGGGAGCCTTGGTTCCAATGCGAACTACAAGAAACATGGGGCAGAGCAGCCAATTACTCAGGGAAGTTGCACAATCTCCTTCCATCTAGCGGTGGAAAGAGACTCTCAGTGGCCTGAAGGTTATTCTTAGACTCTTAAAACCAGCATCAACAAAATTTAGTTGATGGTCCCAGCATAAAGAGTATCTCTCGCTCCTGCACAGGGATTGCAAAAGTCACCCTCACTTACATTTGTACTTCTTTCTAACTTACAAAGTATTTTCCACTGAAGTTCTTACCTGGTGGTTTTTTTGTACTTAAAATTGATTCACACATGCCAGGAAAGTTATCTACCACTGCTGAATGCCAAGCCCTATTTTTTTCCTGAGAAAGTAAAATGAAACATTTGCAAAATTCGTAAGTCACATATTTTCCCAAAACTTAATGTGAAAAGAATTAAGTTCAAACATGAAGCTGAAAACTAAATTCAGATGGGAGCATAGCTGAGACGAGGGAATATGAGAGAGATAACTAATATTATAGGCCTTATGAAACTGAAATATACTACTACAGAAACACATAAAATACAAGCATATATTAAAAAGAGGCTTAATGGAGTTACCCTACAATATGAGGAGGGCAATAGTCCAACTAGACACTCATGTTACCAAATAAAATCCCAGGACTAGGATTATGTTACTTCTTTTTGAGTTACTGGCAAATGGGAACACATAGACCCCTAAGAATTATAGGCTATTGCCAATGCACCTGGCTAGATCCATAATTTAAAGGCAAGACCTTGTTGCTAAAGATACTGCATGCTTGAATCAGAACATGTTGATATTAAGCTGGTACTCACTTGCCAGTTTCACCTCTACTGACTAGCATGCTTCTGGAAGGTACTCTGCATGTAGCTGGTGGAAAAAATAAGCCTCAATTTCACCCATGTATCAACTCTGTAATTCACAAAAACTGGTTTGACAACATAAGCCTATTGATGCAATAGTGACATCAGTGCTATGGCAATAACTAATCACATTTTGATTGGATCATAGTCTGCTTCATGAGATAGAAACCAAATTTGACATTGTTAATGAGTCCAAGAACCAGTGACTGGGCAGGTTATAGACCCTAGAGGAGAACTGTTTTTCTGCTAAATGAACATAGTATTAAAATGACTCCTACTGACCTATTATTATAGCAACACTTCAGAGCATCCCTGAACCCTCAACACTCATCAGAGAAGAGTGGAAGAGGAGAGCAAGAAAAGAGATGCCTTAATAGAGGGAGCCAGTATAGGTTTAAAAAGAAACCTGACATTAGGGAAATGTTCAGAGATCAACTAAGAATCTAGACAGTACTGGAGAGGCCAACTTTAATGCCCTTCCCCTATAATGAGATTGATGACTACCTTAATTGCCATCCTATAGCCTTCATCCAGTAGCTGATGGAAGCAGAAGCAGACACTATATCTAAGAACTGAACCTTACTCCTGGAATCCAGTTGTAGAGAGGGAGAAGGGATGAGCAAAGGAGTCAAGACTGTGCTGGAGAAACCTATAGAAACAGCTGACCTGACCCAATGAGAGCACAAGGACCCCAGTCATAAAACTGGGCAACCAAAATTGGACTGAATCAAGCCCTCTGAATGTGGGTACTAGTTAGGAGGCCTGGGCAGTCTATGGGACTCTAACAATGGAGCCAGTATTTGTCCCTAGTGGACAAATGGACTTTGGGAGCTCATTCCCTATGGAGGGATACTATTTCAGCCTAGATACATGGAGGAAAGCCTAGGCACTCCCCCAAAATGATGTGACAGACTTTGATGATCCCCCATAGAAGGCCTCACTATCCTTGGGGACTGGGTGGGGGAAGATTGGGAGAGGTCGGTGGGGAACATGGGAGGATGGGAGGGAGAGTGAAGGGGGCATTGATATGTAAAATGAGATTGTTTCTAAATAAAAAAATAAAAAAGAAGGACATCCCCCCATCATTGTTGTTTTAATGATGTGACTTCTGGTAGACTGATCAAACGCAAGAGCAGATTCAATTCCAAGACTAGTTAGGCAACACAAAATGGACTCAGTGAGGAAAAGTAATCTCAAAGTCAAATTCCACTTATCAAATATCACCATGCTAAAAGTTAGGTACTTCATAATTACTAATGATTATTAAACGATCTATCAAAATAATTCAAGCTTCTTGACATATATATTAATCATTTAATCCTAATAGCTCCCCTACCACACAGCTCATGATTACAAGATGTTCTGTGTTCATTCACAAGCAAATGGAGTCCAGTGTCACAGGCCTACTACAGCTGGTAATTTGGCAGAGTCATGATTCAGACCCAGGATTCTCTGACTCCAAAGCCCATGCTTTTTCCACTGCTCTCTTCCATCCCCTCCAAGCCCATAATTGAGCAAAATAATATGCCTTTCACAAATGAAAGTTCCCCTGCACTAAATCTATGATATGACTTGCAGCAAATGGCTTCCAAATAGGAAGCAAGATCCTTTTTCTGGAAACCGCATTTGGCATTTGGCATGAAGGCACTAGAGTCCAGACAGCTTCCATGATGCAAGTCAAGGTCTCCTGGATGTTGTCCTTGATTCTGAAATAGCTCTGAGCCCTCCTGCCCTGGCCTCTCCCCTATGCTCTGTCTTACCTAAGTTCTGTGTGCCCACAGCACTTGCAAATGGGCGAGGTGACATTGCCCATGGGACCTCAAAACAAGGTCCATTATGATCTTCTCTGTCCCAGTAACTATTTCAACTTCCCCCACTCTTTAACTCTGACTGATTTTGTGCTTGATTTTGGGCTTGTTTTGCTTTCAGCTTTGAAAAGAACTCTTAGCACTTTGAAACTTTCTACAAAATTATCTGCTGGCACTTACAGAGGGACACTAAAAAGAATGGGACCCTGAGAGGTGATACTTGGTACTAGGTTTTGAGTGTAATCTGGGTTTTCATAACAACCAGTTTTGTGGTGGTTCACCCTGAATGCCCCCATTTCCACACTACATGGTCTATTCTTCTCTTTTGTCAGTTTATAATATACCCAAGGTATATAATACCCAAACCACATTCCTTGAACATCTAAGGAGATCTGAGACTGGGATTTCCTAGCTCTTCCTTGCCTCCATGTTTTGTCTTTCATGATATTTTACCCCTTAGTTTCTGTCAAAAGAAAGAAAAAGTATCAAAGAAGCAGATTGACATTAAGATTCAAAGAACTAAGTCAAAACTTATTTTCCACTTTCTTTATCTGATAGGGTCTATATATCAATCATGTGACTTCTCCAACTGCCTCATCTTACATATAAACCAGGGATTCCACTAATACTTGCCCTATTTATTTGGTTGACCTATATTAGGATCAGAGTAGCTGGATTCATATTTCATAAAATGTAAAGTAATAATGTATATTCATTCATTTACTGGGTACTTCTATGATCAGACACTGTTTTACACATTGAACATTATGATTAATGACATAAAGTGTCCTTTCTCACATATCTCTCATATCTTAACTGGAGAAGATCACAATATTACAAGGCTAATAATAGAATAATGTCCAAAGTGCCATGTAAAGTCATGGTGCCAGACACTGGTTAAGATCTGTGGATACAGGATATCACTCGGGTAACAGGGAAATATCCACAGAGCAAGTTCAGAGGAAAGGAAGATACAAAGGTTCATGGGAATTTACAAAGGAAATAACGAATAGAAGTCTGTCTCAAAACAAAGGACCAACACATTCATGGAAAGCTTTTTAAGCTAGTAGGAATTTGTCTAATAAATGCCAGAGACCAACAGTTAGCATTAAATAGAAAATATGTTTGTAGTGTTTTGAATGAGAATGACTTCCATGGGCTAACATATTTGAATACTTAGTCACCAATTAGCCAAACTTTTGGGAAGGATTAGGAGGTAAGGCCTTGTTGGAGGAAGTTTGTCATAGGGGTGGGCTTTGAGGTTTCAAAAGCCACCAGCCAACTCTGCCTATCTCCATGATGTTAATGGAATAAACCTCTGAAACTGTAAGGAAGCCCTTAGTTAAATGTGTTCTTTATAAGCATTGCCTTAGCCATGATGTTTCTTCACAGCTATAGAACAGTAGCATTATTCTTGCAGTTTGACTTGGGAGACCACAGGGAAATGAACAGAATTAATATATTAGTTAATATTGCTGTAACAGCTGGTTTAATGGGAGACTGAAGACTCTTTGGACTGATAGGGAGTTCAACTGTATTGTCCCCTACACAAAGGAAACCTTTACTTTATGGGAGATGTAAAGCTAGTGACTGGTTCATTGACCTAGGGATAGCTCATGAGGAGGTTTGTTCAAGGCAGCAGAAAGCCTGATTATCAGCATCCCTGAGAAGGAGCTGGTACCATAGAAGGAGATGAGCCCAGAATGGCAGTCTCATCTTTGAGTCTAGACTCAGAGAGGTCTGTATAAGTTCAAGGACACTTGATTTGTGAGGAAGAAGTCTCCTGGCAGAGTCCTATAGAGAGGTTAAAAACCCTTCAAAAGGGACCCCAGAGACATATTTGAGGCCATTAAATCTGAAAGTATTCATGCTAAGTTGAAGTTGTGCTCCTGAATTCAATTCCTTCTTATTATCCCTGAGCTGCCTGCCATGTCGTGTTTCACTCAGCTGGGCTGCAGTGAAATTAAAGTGAAGTTTGCTCATGGTGATACAGAAAACAGTATGTCGTAGTTAGCATTCACGGAACATTTTCTATGTGCCACAAACTTAAATGAATTGCTTTATTTTCTCACCAGCTTTGCAATTACAGAACACTAATGACTCTCATTTTACAGGTAAGATGTAAAGGATGGATGGCCACAACACACGGGAAGTGGATGTGTAAAAAATGGCACAGTTGTTGGGGGGGATTTATGAGGATGGAGCAGCCATGTATTTCCATTGCTGAGTGATGGAGGAGTCTGAGCTGCAACCCACATTAGCACCATGGATGAAGACAAACCCACCCGAGAGCTGCTAGAGAGATCATGAAGCCTCACAATGAAGACCAAACATTGTTCAAAGAAATGAATAGCATTAATCTACAAACTTGAGCCCAAACAACGTGGCTATCTATTTCCCCAAGCTGGTGTTGCCCAAGGAATATTTAAACTGCCATTATGTGACAAAAAGTATATGAAAGAGGACAAAGAAAAAGGGAAAAATACAAAGACTTCACAAACTGTTTCATAGTCAGACTTCAAACTTGGAAATTGCTGAAAAGAAAGACCATTCAAAAGAGGCCAAAGCAAATCATACAGTGACAGCATGCTGTGTTTAAAGCCCTTTGACTTGATCTGCTGTTCTATTAGCTACTGTGCTGTTACTAATGGATTTTCTGGTGGTGCTCAATACACAGGAGTTCAAGGAAAAATGGGAAATAGTTTCCCTTTAAGGAAAATAATATGTCTATCCAAGAAGCATTAAAAATGTGCTCTTGCATTCAAAACCATTCTCCAAGGAGCTGTATGTACTCAGCCAAGGAGACATGTCTCCCAGTGAAACTTCCCCACTTCTGAAACCTCTGAAGACAGCTTCACAGTTCATAAACAACCCAGGATTGGAACTTTTCTAAAGTAGGCAGAAAAGTTTAAAGATTCCTGCCACTTGGAAAAGGAAATCCAAGTTAGCAGCAGGAGCTGAAGCAGCTGGAAACTCCTTAAAATTCCAGGACCCCAGGCACTGCTTACAATCAGATAGACTAGAATCTCCACTGTAATGTGCATGCTAGAATTAAGCATAGTTTAGGATTGTTTAGCCCAACATAGGCTATAGCATCCATACAACATGGTATAAATATGATTTATCCCCTAAGAAAACTTAGGCTGAAATTTAACTTTGATTATGAGATATTAAGGGGCAAAACTAGATGGGAATGTGAAGAAATGACTGAGGCTCTGCTTTTATCAATAGGATTAGCTATTTGGTATAATTTATAGGTTTAGTAGTTCTCTGGGAAGAGGTTCTCAACTAAAAGCCCATTTGGTTAGGCATCTCATGCTCCCTGTCTCTTGCCATGTGAGCTCTGTACAACCTCAGGGACACTGCCAGCAACACCTTCATCTCATGCAGCTTCACCCTTGGATAGTCACTGTGAGTCAGAGTAAATCTCTTATTTATACCTCAATCATTCTGTGGTCTTATTTGTTACAGAGAAGGGACTAAGGATATTGCATTCATTCAGGTACAGGCTTGCCTCTCTCAATCAATTAATGACTTCCTAGGATGGTTCCCTGCTCTGTCAAGCTTGTTGATGAAAATTAACAGACAAAATAAGTAAAAAAGTCAAGACATAATGCCCTACAGAAGGAGAATTGATTTCTTTTTTTTAATTATCTAATATCTACTACAACAACTACTACTACTATTATTATTACTTACTGTGTGTATGGGTGTTTTGCCTTCATATATATCCATGGATAATGTGTAATCCCAGTGCCTATAGAGTTCAAAAGAGGGTGTCATAGCTCCTGGAATCAGAGTTACAGGGAGTTGTAAGCTACCATATGGGTGCTGGGAATTGAACCAAAGATGTTTGGAAGAGCAACTAGTGCTCTTAACTTTTGCGTCATCTCACCATCCCTACATTCAAATATTTATATTGGAGAAAGAAAATATATACAGACTCAGAATGACCTATCAGAAGATAAAACAAGGAACTATCCACACTGTCATAAAACCATTAGGATTTAGTCATGACTATTTCTCTCCTTAAATTCAGTACTGAAATTACACTGACCCCCATATACTTAGAAGTTCTCCTTATTTCCATGCCTTGCACTTGTAGAGCAACCCAACATTTCTCTGTCTCTTTTTGAGCTCCTCTTCTTTCTCCCAGAAATCTATTTCGTTCTTAACACTGACCTCAGCATCTTGCTTCTTGGGAAGCTTTTCTTGGGCTTCAATTGCAGGAAAGTTATTGCCTGATTCCTTAGATGTTCCCTATGAAACTTCTGCTTGCGAATACTACGTAGGTACAAAGGTATTCAGCAAATGTCTGACTAAATATGATAAAGCTAGTAGATGAAAGAGATGTTAAGTTCATGACATCACAGACTTCCTTTGACATTCTCAATCTGTGAGATTCTTATTCTTCCTTACTTAAACTTGTTGGCTGAGATCCATGGCAGCATGCAGTTCTGTTCTAAACCTGGAATGTTCTTCCGTACTCTCTTCTCTTGGGACACACTGATAAATCTTCCCTGTCTCATCTCAAAAAAATTACCTGTGATAATGGTTTTCAAATTTCCCAATGCTGCCACCCTTTAACACAGTTCCTCATGTTGGTGATCTCCAACCATAAAATTATGTGTGCTGCTATTTCCTAACTGTAATTTTGCTCCTGTTATGAATTGTACTATACATATCTGGAATGCAGGAATTCTAATATAGGACCCCTGTGAAAAGGCTGTTTGACTCCACAAAGGGGTCACAACCAACAGGTTGAATACCACTAGCCTATAAGAAGTTTCTTTCATTCTCCAAAATGAGTGAATCTGTGCCAAGAGTGAGTTGTTTCTTCTCTGCTTTTCAACACACTTTTCTAATCTCTACCTAAGATACCTGGGTGTATATTTTTGTTTGACTGCCTCTGCCTCCCAATGAGTTAGAGTAGTGTTATAATGCACAAGAAAGTTTGGAGATCTATTTCTCATGTTATGTATTTTCAGTATTCTACAAGTATCTGCACTTTGTCTTACAGTATCAAAAAATACTGCTTTTTTCAATTCTCCACAACTTCTGGTTCTTACAATCTTTGCACCTATTCCCCCATAATAATCCTTGAATTTTCAGAAGAGTTTGACATAGATTTCCCATTTATGACTCATCACTCTATTCCATGCATTTTATACAGTTATGAGTATCTGCACTGACAAAAATGCTCTTCACAAATAAAATTTTCTTATGAGGTCTGAGAACTGCACCAATCCAAGGATATAGAGATACAAATTTAGAGGGCAATTTGATATGTATATTTAGTAGAATAATAATACTACATTCACTTGTTTAACCTGTAAGCTCTTCATTCATTGGTTCTTGGCCATATTTGAAGTACCAGGTATTTGTTCCTTCTCTAAAGTGGGTATTTAAATCTAACAGAAAGTAATGGGTTACCTGGTAACATCTATACCACTATTGCACCTGTGAGTATAGGTCACATGATTACATTAGAGCTGCAGAAGATCAAGACAGTAAATATTCCAGCATTTTATGGGAAGGGGTTTATGGTCTCCAACCCATAACTGAGGGGCTATGCATGGTTGATTTCTTCTGGAGGAGGGAGAGTCAGTTTTCTTTGGAGTGAAGTTTCTATTAAACCACATTCCAATAGATGGCTTAACCCCCAGAAATACATGGAGAGCACAAATTCAAGTTGATGGATTATTAAATTTAAAAAGAGAACATGAAGTTGAAGGAATAGAGAAGTAGGGGTGGATATTGGCCGAGGGAAGGGGAAGAGTTGGGATATGATGAAAACATAATGAATGAAATTCTAGAAAACTTTAATAAAATGCTTTTATTAAAAGGAACACTTAGTAAAGCCTGCTCTGAGCGAGTTATGTCCTTGAACCTGTCTGACCCATTCCTTTTCTAAATAAAATGTTGCAGTTCTTTGATATATTTACCTTGTTTGGATGGCCCATGTTTTGACTAGATGAATACAGCTTACTTCTTCCAGCATCCTAACATTGAGATATGTAGCAATCTCTGTCTAGCAGATACAGAAAAGTGACAGGGTTATAGCTGAAGGAAAGGGAGAAATACCTTATACAGTCAAGTTTTCCCTCACCCCATATTCCATATTTCCAACACACTATGCCCACATCTGCATGTTATCTCTTACTGCTCCTGGAGAAACATAATGAGGCTATAATTAGACTCAGATGGAGTCCTCAAAATCAGGGCTATTCTCTCAGTTCTGTGACTTTGGACTCCTGCTGGTGGCTGAGTCACCCAATTTAGACCCATTGTCTGCATGAATAAATGAATGACTAAGAAGATTCTGGTAGATGGAAATAGGGAAAAAAACACATTATTCAGTAGTAAGTAGAGCTGACAAAGAAAGTGTCCATGCACCTTAAGCAAAAGAGCTAGGTGTGTGAACAGGTTGAGATGAGCAAAGTGTCTGGAGAATGGGTGGGTGCCTCTGACGTCAGCGCCAGTGGGATTTCTAACAGTGGGCCTGTGTACCGTGCAGAAGCAAGTTCTTGTAGTTGCCAGTCAAGAAAGTACATTCTTACTTCTTTTTTACCCTAATTTATTCTTCTCTCATGTATTCCATCCTGACAACACTTTTCCTCCCTCCACTCCTACTATTCCTTCCTCCCCATCTCCCCTCTCCCCTAGGTCCAATCCTCCTGTCATTGCCTTCAGAAAAGAGCAGGCCTCCAAAGCACATCAACACAATGTGGTGCAACAAGTTACAGTAAGACTTCATTTGAAGTATGGACAAGGCAACTCGGTAGGAGGAAGAAGGTGCCAAAAGTAAGCAAAGGAGTCAGAGAGACAACCCCTACTCCCACTGTTAGGAGTCTCCCAAGAATAGCAGGCTACACATCATAACATATTAGCACAGAGGATCTGGATTAGACCCATACAGGCCCCCTGATTGTCACTTCAGTCTCTGTGAGCTCCTATGAGCCCTGCCTAGTTGATTCTATGGGCCATGTTCTTGTGGTGTTCTTGACCCTTTTGGCTCCTACAATCCTTCCTCCCCCTCTTCAGCAGGATTCCCAGAGCTCTGGCTAATGTTTGGCTGTGGGTCTCTATGTCAGCTCCTATCAGTTGCTGGATGAAGCCTCTCTGATGATGGTCATGCTAGGTGCTGGTCTACAAGTATCGCAGATATTCTTTTGTTTCACATTGAATTATTTCTGTATTTGTATAGTCCTCATTAATTTTCACATCAAATGCACATTTCACAGTCTATGCTACTGTGTGCTATCTATATTTTGCGGGCATGTCACCAGTTCTGACAGTCATTGCAGACATGCTTACCTCTAACTTTGCCACACAGTTATACATTCATTGTTGACAAAGGAAAGGGAGACCAAGAAAGCCACATTTATTGATTATCATTATATACCTGGAGATTTCAAAATGTAATTTCCTGACATCCCCTCTACAGCTTCTCCTGCCATTTTGGTGGAGATGGGTTTTAAAGTATGAAGATTTAAATGGCTGTCATAACCTATGCTTTTCCCTCCACCTACTGTTAGTTTTCTTTGCTTTGGCTGCTGCATTTGAAAATGGATGCATTGTGTTAGATTATTTCTTAGGAACTCTTATTTCTAAAATCAATGGATTTATCTTTGCAGTCGGACTTCTCCACCCAAAGGAAGTTCCTTTGAAGATGATCTATTCCTTTGCACATTGGTAGACCCCGTTCAATAATTGCTCGCTGAATGTAAGTTGAACTTTACCACCGAGGCAGTCCTGGGAGATAAAAACAGTACGATTTGCTCAGAGTTCCTGAATAAACTTTGTATGTCCTTGTTTCTTCATTTTTAAACTCTGTGATTGTCTCTGCCACTACCAAAATTCTCCTCTCCAATGCTCAGCTCTTTGTCCCCCTCTAAACAACCCTCTTTGGCTGCTGACAAACTAGTAGCTATGAAAAGCAGTATTGCATTAATCCAGTTGTCTAAAGGATGGAGTCAGCCCACCTAAACCTTTGAAGGATGTCTAAGGAGGAAAGAGTGGAACAGATATGGGAGGGCAGCATCAGTGTTCAATATATGCCTGGATACAAGGACTAAAGAAAGAACAGCCGCAGAATTACTCTTCGCTAGAAGCACTGACCTTCAAAAGACCCCATCAGTGTCTTAAAATTGCGATGACTACATCTACCTTTAAACTGCATTGCCTCTAGCTTTTCAGATTCCTCATGGATTTCTCAGACCCAACCACCGCTTTGCTGTTACGTATCATTAAACCTGAATGTCCACAGCCTTGTCTTCGTGGAATCTCCCCTTCTGCCTGAGATAACAGTGGAAGATTACTGAACGGAACTGAAGTATTCATTACACTTTGCCCTGAAGAGGCCTTGTAAAGAAGCAGGCCACTCTTCACAGTCTCAGAAAGCAGATCTACCTGCTTGATGTTTAACACATCTTATTTTCTTAA